GAAACTATTACTATCTCATCTAAATGTCCATATTTTGTCTAAGTTGAATACCACTAATAAATATATTATTATAGAAACTCTCTGTCTAGGAGTAAGTTGCAAATTACATAGTTTTTACTCAGTTCTGCTAATTAATGAAAATCATGCTCGACTAGCTTGCATTTGTTTTACTGCTGAAGATGAAGAAATTATATGATTTTAAGTCTTCTCTTCAAAATCTTTCAGCATATTAAAGTTTCAGAAGATTTTCTTCTTAGAACTAAATTCTGTTTTTACATCCACAGAAAAGAAAAATTGATATCATTCAACATTATTATTAATTAGAAGGCAATACTTTAAACGATGTTTTAGCAATCATTAAAGAAGAGACACTTGATGTAGTCATTACAATAAACAACAGTGAAAGTATGAGTATTTCTAGAAATCGCGCTGGTTTGGTCTTTTGATCTTAACGAAATTTGAATAATTAATGCTGTGCGTCAAACTTAATATTTGCCCAGTTGACATGCTATTTATTCAATTTCGTCGGTTTTTTTATAAAATCCATGAATTCAAAAAAAAAAGCAAATTGTGATTAATATTCGAGTTTTGGTTCCGCTACTAAATTCTCCTTCTTCTAACGTAATGAGTTCTGTTTGAAAGCATACAGATTTTCTTTACCGATAACTTTTGCACATCAGTGGCTTGTTTTTCTTTTTTCTCTCTCGAAAATTTTAGAAAAAAGAGATGATATCAGTCTAATGCAATTAAGAATTGACCTGATATCAAATGACAAGAATCAGTGGTCAATTTTTCTACGCTATCCACTGATCTTTATGATCGAATTGATGCTCTGCTTTACTAAACGTATCTATGGCTCTTCTTATGGACATAATTAAAGCTATTTTTTTTTAGAAACAAGAATCAGTAAGCCTGGATTTACCTAATTTATGCCAAATTATTTCAAGGATTAGAAGTGTAATCCAAAACAATCATAGTAGTTGATCAGTGAACGCCAGTATCGATTTAAGTGATAATGGAATAAAATATTTAATAATAATAATAAATGAATAAATATATTTACTTAAACATTGCCTAAACAAGAATGCATTTGAACTAACATCCTTTAAAGGAGTTCTTCATGGTATTGTTTAATCTGAAGTTTATTTTATTTTTTTATTATCTCACTTGATTTTTAGAATGATGAAAAATCAAGTTGCAATTTTTTTTGTATTTCGTATTAATTTATTGTCAGAAATCGCTGGAAGGCAACATTTAAAGATTTTATCATAAATTAATAACTCGATTATGAAATGCGATTTCTATTAAATTCAAAATTTAAACTGAAATCGAAAATTCCGTCTTTGTTTTGGTAGAAACAAAATTTTGAGCTGCGAAAGGGAAGAAAAAACAATCAATAAAGCTATTTTTCATGGTAAATATTATTAATATTAAACAACAATAACAAAATTCATGGATTTTTAAGTTTCAGTCTAACAGTGCTGTTATTCATTCTCATGACAAAAGTACATACACATGCCCCTATTTGATTATTGAATAACTGCTTATTTGCAGATTGGATTTGAAAATTTGGTTAAAAATAAATTACCCTCATTTTTATGATTTTTTTAAATGATTAGTCTTGCCATTTTCGAGATTAATCTTACCTCTCCTCATTAGTTCAGCAGAATCTTGTTATAATATAATTATAAGATAATTTAAACTCCCTATTCTAGGATTATTGTTTGACCAGTAAGTAAGCCTAGTAAAAACAGGTTTTTTTTTTTTTTAATTTGAAATTAAAGTAAAGGAAAGTTTGTTTAAGTGAAATATAATAATTTAAGAACAGATCTTTTAGTCGGCTATATGCTACATGTTTACATGAATTATATTTATTTATTTTTTTAAAAATATTTTTAACTTCTTCAAACGTTTCCCTCTTAATTCCACTGATCATCATTTAGAATTTTATGTTATGGAAGTGTGACAACGTATAAAGAAAAGAATGGAGTAGATTAGTGTTTAATATGTGGCTTATTTGACATGGTAATTTTTATTACTAGCTTAGAAAAGTAACTGTTCTATGCAAATGTCACAATTCAAATCATAATATGTAATAGCCGGATAATATTTTTCTTCAAATTCAAGATTAGTTTTTTTTAAAACTGCTCAAATTCTACATTTATACAATCACAATCTCTCAGTGGAAGATTTTTGGTCTTTTGATTTCCTTTACAAAAGGTTGATCCAAAGTATTTTGAAAAACTTTTGTTCCCAATTTGCTTCCCACCACTAATTATAACCATTAAAAAAAGATTCCCCTCTCTATTGTGATGCAACAAATTAGTTAGACCAAAACAAAAAATTAAACGAGGTGATCTATCTTTCGTTTACTTACTGAGGCAAAAAATGAATAATAATGTTACAAATATTGTTACTACTCAAATTTAAATATTTTACTGCCTGAAATAAAACAAACCTAAAATATGATGGATCATTTTGTGTTTTCTGAGAAAGTTGCAATCAGTTCATGAGATAAGTAGTAATAGTACCTAGCAGATACAATTTATACTCCATTTAAATTTATTTATCTGAAACTTTTGATTAAAATATTTTCGTGAACTTGCTTAGCAACTTTTTACCCTACTTCATTTATATATATATTTGCTTATTTTATACTTCACAAGATTCAAAATTACAAAATTACGGAAATTTCTAGAATAAATTATTGGTTTATTTTTTGAATAAATATTCTGCTAGTCCAAAGAAAGCCTCAATTCTCTAAACATTTCCTTTCTCTCTATTTTTTATATCTCATCATATTTAAGTGATTAAAAAATATTTTAATCAATTCACTTTTTCAATGCATGTTTTAACTGCATTCATTTTCGTTCAATATTTTGCAGTTTATTTTGCTAGCACTTCTTCAACTGTTTTTAATCATTAACATTTATATATTTTTAATCATTTACGTTTAGAATCAGGAAATTTTTAACACTAGCAGTAATGAAGTAATTTATTGGTCTTTTTATCGATTCTCATATTCTATGCTCCAACTGAAAATGTTATCGGCAGAACACGAAGTGCAGGAATTGAGGGTCCTCCTCACACACAATAAAAAAGTTGCAACTAATATTAGTTTTATTCTAATGATGTCCGAGATTATCTTCTCACGCATTTCTTCCAATCTCTTATTTCGAATTTCTGGTGCTAATTTCCGAATTTGCAATGGTTTTTGTTCACTTCAAAATTGAGGAGAGAAATATCGTTAAATATCGGATATGTAGCTTAATATTTTTTCTAATGAATTTTAATTAAGTCAACTTTTGCAGACTTCCATAGTTTCAAACTTGCAAACTTCGATAAGATGGATTGAAGTCTTAGTTCAACAAGTATTGATACCGACTTGTTAGCGTAGGCAAAACCAATTCACATGGACATTTCTATCAGTGAAATCACAAAAATCGATCCGAAACTCATTATAATTATGAGAATGGATTAAACCTAAAATGAGAAATTTTCAAATCAGTTGCATCTTTCTATTTCATATGAAAATTTAGTTGAAAGCTACTTACTTGTTTTACAAATTCAAACCAAATATGAACCCAATTATATAGTTAGCGAACCCACTAGTCTTTGCCTGGAGGTAACGGCAGGAAAGAATGAGCTTTTAGTTTTCAAGCAGCTTGCTAGGTCCAACCTTAATAGTGAATTTAACTTACGTCTATATAGGTCTAATTTTTTCTTTTTTTACGGTCACTAAGGCTAAAGTGATTAAATGTCAGTCATGTCGTAACCAGGGTTTTTTTTTCGCCTGCCATATTTATAAGTGTGACTGTATTTTGTAATTTCTGAATTTTATAGCTTCCGAAACTGAAAATTAAATTTAATAATTTATCAAGCTTGATATTTATGTGAAAAAATGTGTTAACCGACTCAAAAGTAGATTAAATAAATGTCATATCAAATTTCATTGTATTGGTTGATGCTTTTACCAAGTTTATTTTTATTGCTTCATAAATAATCTTTGCATGGCTCTTCGTACAAAGATCCAAAATGTTTGTCCTTAGCAAAGTAAAATCATGGTCTGACGGATGCGACGTCTCATCGGGAAAAACAACCGAAGACGGTTTATGATGCCTGAACAATTCACCTGGCTGAAAAGCTTAAAGGCGAAACATAAAATTCATTATTAATTAAAACGAACGAACCTTATCAAAACCAATTATTGTTCTGACTGTACTTGATTAGCTTATTGATTTAATTCACGATTTAACTTGGTCTAGAGTTTGAAGTAAAAGTTATATAAAATTCTGCTTTCGGAATTCATACAGGAAAACGAAAAGAGGATAAATATAAACAGCACTTAGTTCTATTCCACAAATAGATTGCGAGGAGAGATAAAGAGAAAAGAGATAGTGATAAGAATCTGTAATGGAACAAAGTAATTTTAATTTTAACTATGAGTAATTTTAATTTCGGAATGGAGGACTGTCACCTCCCTAAGATCTTGTTCGCCCAAAAAAAAGTTCAAAGACTGTCTGAAACAGTCTCTTCGCCTAAGACACCTAAGACACACAACATACCACACATAGTCCGCTACCATTTTTGAGAACGTATTAGGATGTATCTCATTAAAAACTGTGCCATAATCCAATGTGATCTTCCGTTCTGTCCCTTGCAATAGGACTTGCCTATGCCATATTGGTGTATCAACATAGACCCTTCACAAATCTTCGTTCGCGAAACTATGATGTCCTTCATTTAAGACTCAAATTTCACAAAAGCTGTGAATGATTAAGAAAAACCAGATAATATAAAATGTAACGAAAAATATTTTTAGCAGAAACGTTTCCAAAAAATCATCCTGAGATTTGATACAATTCTCGTCGAATTTATAGGAAATGCGTAATAAACTGAAACTGATTTTATTTCTCCAGAATCCAAAAAAAAATTTCAAAATTGATCAGAAATTTAGAACAAGTTTCAATATATAATCGATCAATTACAAGATTCATCGGTTATAGCATGTGTGCACTATGTAGAAAAGTTTCAGCAAAATTTAAAGTTTGTGAATACTGAAATTGGAGCAGTGGTAGTGACTGGATATTTTGTTGTCGACGGGTTTCCATTTCTAAACGCTCCATACTAACAGACAGTTGATTGGCGGGCACCTCAAGGCTTCCATGATTTATCTGTTGTTGTTCGATTTTCACCAATTCTGTCCAATCTGATATTTGCGACTACAAACAAATTCGGATAATTATTTCTAAAACAGTGGATATTTGATGATCAACAAATTAATATCGATAAGGAATAATTATCAGCAGCGAAATGACATTCAGAAACTGCTTACTAATGAGTAATTGAAAACCAATAAGTTGTTACAATGTTTTGTTCTCTGAATTTTATTAAGGAATTAATAAAACTATAGCAGCTTTCAAGTGGAAGCAAAAACAGTCCTAATTAATTTGAAACGAAAACTCTAAATGCTACGGATACTTAATATTCTAAATAGTCGCAAATAATCAACTCAGTAATATTGATAAAGAACCGCTTAAAACTGGAAGTAACCTGAATAAAATCGGTTCTTTTCCTTCCATGAAGGACCAGTGTGATCAATACCTTATCATTAAAAAAAATTTTTAAAAAAATAAAAAAGCCTAGAAGTCTAAAAATGAAGCCAAGAATTAAATAAGATCCAACTTAATATCCTAAACCGAGAATGCTAACTTCATCGTAAAAACTTCGATAAAAGAATTTTTCAATAATCGGAAAATACCACAACACCTGTAGAGGTTGAAGAAAATGCTTATAAATATTTAATATCAATTCCGGATTCATTCTACGAAGCGCCAATTCCTGAGCAAATATGAAAACAGACAAATAGTACTGCAATCCATCACTGAGATATGAATAACGTATACTGACCATATCACCCCAGAAAAAACCAAGTTCTCTACGAAACACCTCATACTTAAGCTTGGAACGAAACAAGTCAATAATCCATGCCAGAAGTTGTGCCTCGAATTTTAATCTGAAATAAAGCGACAGTTTTAAAAGTTATATTTCATGATTTCGGATGTTTATTTGCTTGCTTGGTTTTCAAATAAAACCGGCGCATCAATTGTGTGAATCACGTGCTGATCGCTCTTTTATGGTATCAAATAAAAGCGGAATGCCAAAAATGTTCAACTGCAGCTTTCTCCAATCAGCTACAATGAAATGATTTACACTATCACATCGAAAAATAAAGAAATAAATAAACAGGAATACCTATTCCTTCGTGTAACTCTGCAAAGTTGAAAAAAACGAAACTTACGATTTTTCATCATAAATGTTGATTTTGTGAAAATTTTTCCTCCTGAAAGGAAACAATGATAAGAATGATGCTTAAGAAATTAGAAATTTTCATCGAAAAATATACAAATGTAGTATTTTGAAATCTAATAAGAATTAAGAAACAAAAAAAAAAAAAAAAAAAAAAAAAACAAGAATGGTAATAGTTCTTATTTTCCTTAATTTACAATGTATGATAATTTCTTATAAAGTATGATGCATTATATTTCTGGTTTGTGATAACTCACTGTATTTCGTCCTTTTGAATCATGCCGAACAACTTTCGGATGACAAGTACTTGTGCTACTGGTTCAAATTTCGACAAAAATAGTTTGAAAGTATCCATGCATATCACCCGCACTGTACATAAGGTGTATTCTTCACAGCATATTAAGAAATTAGCGAGAAATTCCTGCAATCAGAAATAGCTGAACAAATGGAATTCGAAAGGATATTATCCAACTACCTTTTCTCAACGATATATTTGTGTCTCCCACCTCCCAAAATTAAGAATCAGATGTATCCGTGTATTTTTCAAGATCTTCGAGGCCTATACATAATTCTAAATCACTTTCAACATTGAAACTTATCAAGCTTTCGATTTGAAACTTATCAAAATATATATATATATATATAAGTAAGCTCGTAGGAAATTTCTTGAACCATACTAAGAAGAACGTCCACTGGTTTCGTCCTATTGACTCATTTTCGACAGAAACCAAACAATTTCGCAGCACTAGTACTACGTAACCAATGTTGAACATATTTGAAGTTGAAATATGCAGCGAATAGCAAAGTGGACCAACCGCAAGTTTCAGATAATATTCAGGTGAAAATACTTGTGGAAGTGGATAAAACTTTGATCTGAAAATCGACCTATATCTAGACTTATCTAAGACACAAAATTTGTTATTCTGACAGATCTCATGTTTTTTATTTTCTTATTCTTACAGTTCTCACTTATTACAGTAACAGAGAAAAAGGAAAGTGTACAATTGAAATTAGTTATCAGAAGCAATACAGAGATCTGGATCACTAAAGTTCCAGAGTTAAATTCGGCATGAAAGATAATAAAAACGATTATAAGATGACTGGTCATTTATTTTGAGTGTCACAATTTTTACAAAACACTTACTTCAAAGAATTAACTAAAATAAGTGTATTGAGTGGCAGTTGCCGGTTAGAAAATTTGTAAATTTCATCCAATTTCATAATAAATGCTTCCATATAATGACTTTGGATATGAGTGCATGATAACACTTTATCGAACAGCTCATCCAGTAGTTCGTAATTTTTGCTCATTGATAAACTATTAAACAGGAATTATCGAGCAAATGATATCATTAACAATTACTTTGCTAACAAAGAAATACCAAAATAGACTAAAATAAATGTAATAAAATAAAACAGTACTAAAATGATAAAATATAAAACAATCTGTTCAATAATAATAACTGGTAAAGCTGTACGTGACCCAAAATCTTCGAGTTCTGCAAAAGTAAGCGGTTGAAAACTTACGTGAAAATTCGTAAAAACATAAAAACAGCCGCTAAAAAAAGATCAGAAGATGCATCTGGCAGTACCGGACTGTAGTTCTCGTTCAAATAATCGGCCTCTAGATTCGAAAAATATTCTCTATTTATTTGATTGTCTGGATGATTCAACATGACATTTTTCTCGAATCGTTCAATCCATGATGGAACATAAATTTCCCTGATGTCGCGAATGAAACTAAATAACTAAATGTGAAAAAAGACTTGAAACTAACTATGATTATCCTTGATAATTATTTAGTTTATTAGCAGTTAATCAGCACAATTTATTTAAGAAACTATGATTGCACATAGTTCAAACAACTAAATGGAAGAACATAATATGAATGGAGCAGTAACTTTCTTTAAACAAAGAACAGGTGAAAACTGAAGGATTAGGAGGGTAAGCTAAATAATACTGGGATGAAAAGCATGCATACATATGAAGTCGATAACCCACAAAAATCCTTTAAGAAAAAAAAATTTACTGTTCGTTGAGATCTTTCATCTCCGGTATTATTTCTTCCACAAAGCATCCAAGCATCATAAATGCCTTCCATGAAGTAACGCCATTAGAGCATTCAAGTAAAACAGCCAGTCTAAAATTTTCAATAATATAGTTATTAATATATAAGCATTGAGAAATAATTTTTTAAACTGATTACAGTGTATGCAAACGAGCTTAACTTAAATCTGAAAGATATCCTATTTTTTATGCCATGTGTACGCATATGTGGAGTGGTCGATGAACGCAAACAACTATTATGAGTTCGTCTAACAAAACTAATTTTAAATTTACTTATTCTTTGTAGTTCCATATGATTTCAGTAATATCAAGACATTTTCCAGGACTGGATCGGAAATACCGCTTTCAAGGAAATCTCTGTCATATTCGTCGATGACTGCTTGAAACAATTCTCGATAAACATCCACAATAGCATGATCGGCTGCAGCAATTACGAGACCATGTACTTCATCGTATTTCTTACCTGCCAACCGATGGAGAATCTCTTCAAGAAATTCTTTACTTGTCCAACCATTTTTATCTTCTCTTGCCTCTCTATAAGAGAACTATAAGTATGAACAACTTTGTTAATTTATCATTTTAAAGGTTCAGTTTTACAATGATTTGTTAACCCAAGCAATTATCAGATATGACACCCTTTAAAATTTTGAAAGATGGAACACCAGAATAAGGACCAGAACATGAAGGCAAATATGGATAACGTCGAAACGAAGGACTAAATCACTTGTTTTATTGTTTATAAATAATTTATGCAGCAATTTTGCTGCATACTTTATACTTTTCTGAAAGGCGTATATATTAGCACTAACCCCTCATCGTTAGATGATGCATAAACTGCTTGATCTTCCGGTACAATCAGATACATAAGTAAATTTTTCAGTCCCAGCACAGCCATCTTCAGCAATCTAGCTAGCTAAAGTCAGTTCTTATGAATTCTAAGAGAGAGAATGATATACCATACAAGAAAGCCATGATCCACAAAGCATAAAAACTCGGAACAAATAAGGATTTGGCTGGTCAGGGAATGTACTGGAAATTTTATTTTGAGACGTATTTTTTCAAGACGAAAAGAATTACATATTTTGACATTACGCTTTTCAGTGATGTTTATATAATGATCTCCATACAAATGGAAACAAATAACAATTGTAATCCAAGGGATTTGATTTTTAAATTCATATTTTTCAAATGTCACGAGGTATTTTATGTAATTAATTGGACGATGATAATGAAAATGCCATAATAGTCATGCATATATATGTTCATGATTTTCTTTATTAACACTTTATTATTTTTTAAAAACCATAAAAATTTATATAAATCTAGACCCAATAAAATTCTCTTAGCTCTCTTGCATGAAATATGGTATCAACTCTACAACAAGGCGACAATAAAGATAAGTATGGCTTAATTTTAACAAATCTGGGAAATTAAAGATGATAAAATTTTTGGTCAACATACAATTTAACATATATAAGGAATTAAGGTATCTCAAACACTTCGCCAAATAAATAGCAGCATTTTTAAAGTAGAAACTCTCCGCTGCAAGAAGGAGCTTTCAAATGATTATTTGGAAACTGAATTCAGGCTCTGCTGTGAATTCTGCTTCATGTTAAAAAGAAATTATAAAATATATACAAACTACCTTATTTTTCGTTTCTCATTAAAAACCATTGATGCGTTTGCATAAGTTATTCCCGGTGCCAAGCTTTCACAAATAGTTCCATCCACCTGATAGATCTCACCTCGTTCGTCTAAATTAGAGTTGTGTTTGAGCATACAACAATATCCAGTAGTCTGTCTGCTTTTGCTAAAAAACCCTAAGGCACATTGCACTTGTATTTCCAGACACTTTCACAATATCCAGTTAACGCCTTCTAAATTCCACAATAATTTCACATTATCTTCCTATAAAATACATGAACTTTTATTAAACCAACCATGACAAGATGCGCTAATAAAAAATGAATTTGGCTTTATGTTATGAGTAATTTACTCCTATATGATTTAATGAGTTTAGTTCAATTAATCGATATAATTCAACTATCAATTATCCACTGAAAATAATATGGAAGTATAGTCGAATACAATAAATCCATGCAAATGGGTGAACCAAGACTTGAAATATCCGGATAAAAAGATTAAACATAGAAGACAAAAGTAAAGCTTTCTTTGCAAATGAATGTTTGAAATGGAAAAGCAAATGACTCCAATGAATGGATTTCGAAATTCTTTATAACTTTTCTTTAGAACAAATTAAAATTTATTCCTTCAGCTTCTTCCTAAATATAAACATTCATTATATACTGGAAAAATCGTGATCCAACCAATTATAGAAACTGTCTAATATACATTGGCAGTGAATCATAATCGAATTTATTATTCTAAAAATGAAAGTATATTCAAGTCGAGGATTTTCTTGTAAATATGGAAGAGATAACGATTTCCCAACTCCAGATCTTCGTGTAAGCAAAATGAAGAAACTTATCGAAAGAAAAACATAAAATCTTATGCCAACGACATGAAAAATTTAAAAAGGAAAAAATGCAAAGTATTCATAAAGAAAAAACATCACAAGATTTCACACTATACAGAAAAAATTGAAAAAAATGAAATATGGAATGAAATTGAACAGAAAGCAGCATTTTGAAGCGTAGTTCGTATCAGTAAAACTTCTTTGTTTCAAATCTCAAATTTTCCTAACTTACGTTAAAATGAAATTTCGAAACCAAATTGATGAATTTGAATACAATATTTCACTATTACAAAAATTTCATAATTTTATTTCCATCAAATCTTACACGATAAAAAGAGCACGAAAATGCTGAGTAAAGCCCCATTTAGAAAAAAAAAGCTCAAGGAAGCTCCTACCACTAAAATAACAGATACTGATGAAAAAAAATCACATCAATTTCAAACAAAAATTATCAATTTTTCAAATTTATCCAACCATTCAGATCGATGATTTCTAATTAAAACAAGTGATTTCAGAAGTTCCATAACTTCTTACACATAAAAATACTGAATATTATTTACTCACTTATCGTACTATTAAAGCTCTGATCAGAATAAAACGGTGATAATCAAGTTCAAAATGGAAAAAAAATGAAAGAGCAAAACAGAAAAAATTAGATTGGTCCAAAAGAAAATAAACACCGTTAAAGAAACGAGTACGAATCGCAATAACGTTGATTTGAGATTTGATAATGCGCGACTTCCTGCTTACATTCGATACTCTATTTAGAGATAACTAAATGTAATTCTTCCTATAATCTTCATCAAATGTTAACAGTAAAGAAAACAAATTTTAACCGGTTAATTAATAAAACTCTCAGTCTTAGTCAGATAAATAAAGGCAAGCTTGCGCATATCATCTCAAAATTTCCTCTCTCTTTATATATATATATATATATAAACAGAATTTAACAAGATATGAAATCAAAACTTGATATTTATAAACAATTTCTTAGTTCTTAACTAGCATCATTTCATCGTTTATGAAGACGATTTTCTTTATCCATATAAAATTCTAGATTTTGGAATAGTTATCGTAGGCTTTGCAGATTCAAACCGCATTGAGAAAAGCAAATAAAAAACTTTCCGAAGTCGCTAACAGTTTTTAAAGTACTCTTTTTTCAAGAACTTAAGATTGTAGAATTAATTCCAGGATCCAATTCTGCTTCCTTTAATTGCGTTACTTTCTTTGCTATCTGTGTTCGCCTATAATGATCTTCCGTTTCTTTAAAAATCAGCTGCTTCAATGTTTCTTTTGGTAAATCGTCATACTCGATTTCGTAAGTAAATGGTTCTTCACAGACAGGCTGTAAAATATTTCATATATGTGGAGTGAAACTAATTAACTTGGTTAACTTTAACTTTTTAAAACCATATGTAAAGAATGCTCAGATTTCCAAACTTCCTCAGCAGTAAAGTTATATAATATTAAACTGGTAAATATTCCATTATGTTTCAGTGATGACTTACCATAAAATAAAACAGAGTTTGAAACCATGTGAGAAAATAAATGAAAAAAAAAAAAAAAAAAACCCAAAAAGAGACCAAGAAATACAATACTTCATCATTAGGATCATAATACTGTTCCAGATATGGATGTGCAAGGGCATCTTCGATACTGATTCGTTTGTTTGGATTAAAAGTTAGCATCTTATCTAGTAAATCGAGTGCACGCGGATCTGCATTTGGATACATCCGTAACCATGGTTGTTTTATCTTGTGTGGCAATGAAAGCAAATATGATCGAGCCTGAATTAAACTGAAGTTAGAAACTTTCGTAAAAATAATAAATTTTCAAACAAATTTGCAGTCTTTTAGTCAAAGAATAAACAAAATAACATAGTATTATTATTGGTGCAAAGTAAGAATAAAAGCAATAACACTACCGTGAACGATGATAATAACAAAATCAGAACCTTCTCGTTGATGATGCATTGTAAATCTTCCTGGCTTGGTGACCCAATAACGCCCAAGATTAAATTCAATTGATCCAGATAATGTTTACCGGGAAAAAGGGGTCGGTTACTTAACATCTCGGCTAAGATACAACCAATCGACCACACATCAATAGATTTCGTATAACCTTTTGAATTTAACATAATTTCAGGTGCACGATACCATCTGGAAGAAATAAAAGACCAAAATGCAACCGATAAAAAATATGCAGTTGCTAGTTTAAGATTATAAATAAAGAAAAAATAATCAGCCTAAAACAAGTACAATATATTCCCTAATAAATTAAAAAAGCCATCGATAAAATATGTATATTCCTCTTCACAGCGCAGAACTGAAAAAAATTTCAAACATTTTTCAGTGAAAAATATTTAACCTAGTTGCCACATATTCTGTCAATACTCCAGTATGGTCATGTCCAGGATCTGTTACTCGAGCAAGGCCAAAATCACAAATCTAAAGTACGATTTGAAAAATTTACAACTTCACTAATCCATCCATTTTCCAAATTGGTTTCAGATTTTAAATAAAAACTCTAATATTTATTCTACAGTTATAATATAGCAGTATTTATAAAAATCAACAAAATTGAAAATCGTTTTAACAAGAAATTGAAAATAATCGTCTTATCCAATTGCAAAATCTAACTTTGAGATCGCAAGTAGTGTTGAGAAGTAAATTAGATGGCTTGAGATCACGATGAATAACATTCGCAGAATGAATATATTTCAATCCACGCAATATCTGGTATAAAAAGTAACAAATATGGTCATTGGAAAGTCGTTGCGTTTTCAGCAACTTGTACAAATCTGTTTCCATCAAACATTGCACTATGTAACTGAAACATTCTCATTCTTGATCTAATCAGAGTTTCTACTATATTATAAAACCGAAAAAAAAGTCAACAACAAGACCAAGACTATAAAATACAACCATACGAAACTGCAAATCCTGAGAGAATAAATTATAAAACTAAATTTCCCTTCATCCACCAATGGAATCGACATCAAATTTATCGCAAATCAATAAAATCTCCTCGTTAAGAAAACGACTTACATATCTTTCATTTGCTCCACGCTTGGTGCTCTGATGATTTCTTGAATGTTGATGATCTGCAACAGAGATGACATAAAAAAGCAAAAAGCTGAGATTTTTGGCTTCAATTAATATATTTTTGATATGTAATAATCTTCAGTTGGATGTTAAGAATGAAACCAATCCATTATAGTATCAGGCTATGCATATGCTAAGAAAATTCTTGAAGGTATATCACGCGAGTCATAAGTCATGCAAAATTTTTTAATTCAATTTGCAGAAATATTTATTTACTTGATTACACAAATGCTAAACACGAAGACTTGGTCCAAAAGTAGATCTATAACCCCTGCATTTCATCAACATCTGTTAATTTTCTCGGCTAGCTTACATTTTCATGCTTAAACTTAGTTAAAATCTTGATTTCTCGAAGCGTCCTCTGACAGAATGTCTGATGCTCGAATGGTGAGATTTTTTTGATTGCAACACGCTCATGCGTCTCTGTGTCCAGTGCTGATCTAAACAGCCTTTAATAGATTCAAATTTTCTCAAAACATTTTCTTTAAATGTATTCGTGCAAGCATTTTCTTGTATCAATACGATTCAAGTCTTTGACAATTCAAATGGTTACGTCAATTTAAGAAGAAAACCCATTCCAAAGTTGCATCTAAACACAAGTCACGGCAATAAGTCCTTAGAATGATAAAACTCACAAACCCATCACCCCTTATCAGTAAAAACATACACCACCATTCCGTATGCTCCTTCACCGATATAGCAAAGATTCACATAACGTGGCCCAACTTCGAAAACTTGCCCATGCACTTCCTCGACACCATTTTTGGTTTGCACTTCTACCGTTGTTGTCATCTGTGAAAGAAAAAAGATTAACTGCAGAGTAGAACTTTAGAATTTTCTTCTTATAATAATATTTTATTTGCTGCTTTCAGCACTCTAAAAAAGGATTCTAGTTAGTGTCATCATCTTGTCATCTTGTATCCATACTGAACTATTAATATTATCAGGTCCATCTCATCTTTTGATGATCAATTCCTTTGCGCCATCCAACATTTGCTACCGAGATAAACATAATCATATTACGTTCACCTTTTAACAACTCTCAGCACTTAATGTGACTGCCACTGAAATAATTGAACACTCCAAAACAACGAACAAACATATGAAATATGTGCATAAAGAAGGATAAGTATGATTTTTCGTTGTAAAAATTTGTTACAAAAGAATAATTTTAGAATGAAACAAATAAATATTTCGGT